CACCAGTGTGTAACATCTAATGGAAAGAACAGATGGTCAACAACCTGAATTCTGACCTAGGCTATTTGTCACGCCAACAGGACACAGAAAGCGTATAGCTAGGCTTGTCAGCTTAACGCCAAACTACTTCTGTTGGGACTCATAGTTGAGTGAGACATGGAGAAAAAGGTACTTTACAGATTGGTAGCTATGTAACAGCTTATCCCGTTTTTCTAACCACTTTCTGAAGCAGTTCTGGAAGTCTGCTTTCATGAGTGTCTTTAGTTGCACGCTCTTGGCTGCCTTGATGTCCTAAGTTGATGCAAAACATTTACCTTTTATAGCCATTTTGTTTTTAGGGAAGAGCCAAAAGTTGCACAGTTCCAGAAGCATGAATAAGACGGATGAGGAAACACTCTAATGTTTTCAGGAGTCTACGTTTCCTTTGAACAACAGGTGAAAAATAAATGTCACACATGTGTGAATACCGAATAGTTTCTCTGGTGTGAAAAACTATAATTGTAAATAAGATCCTAATGGTATAATTGATAATGTGAGATAGGAAGAAAAGGGCTAAAGGTGTAGGGGAAGTAGGAAAGGTAGGGAAAGGGAATAAGGGAAAAGAAAAAAATATGAGAAAATGAAAAAATGGAAATAAAATGTTTGTAAACAGGAGGGGAAGAGGAGGTGAAGGGAGGGCAGGGGTATGGGGAAAAATGAGAACCAAGACCTGTCATGTAAAGGTACAAGATCCCAATGATGACTGTAACTGTACTGTATACCTAAAAAGTACCAATAAACTCAATGAGAAAAAAATTTTAATGCATAAACTTAAAAAATATTTGACTCTTTAATTTGTAAATAAAAGCATTTCAACAATTACAGAAATGGAAAGAATCCAAACACACCCACTTAGAACCAGCACTCATATGCATGTATGAGTATGTACTTACTCTCTATATCTACTTATCTGTCTTTCTCTCTATTATCTAATGTCCACCTATCTAGAGATTGAAAAAAGAATCAGAGAACATGAGGAAAAAACTTACAAACAGAATTGTGGCATTTATAAAACAATTGGAATGTGAAATGAGTCTCGCTCTATACTGACAAGTACAAATTATGATTCTCTGTAGATATGGTTGTAATGTTGTAATTAAAACTCACTAATTTGGGTGAAATAATGCACAGCTGTATTCTCAGCACTAGGGAGGCTGAGGCAGGAGGATTTCCAGGATGGCCTTAAACCCCTGGAAGTCTTCTGTCGGGCAGAGACAGCCCCTGCATCAACTGCCTGTTTTGTTGTATTTTTTCGTTTTGTTTTGTTTTTGTTTTTGTATCTTGTCCAACTGTAGCTTGGAATTAAAGAGCATATTCATTCACCATTTCACAACCAGGTCAAGCCTGACTCACACATCACTCCATGATATGTACAATTAAAGAAAAATAAAAAGGAGGCGATGCTTCTGAGTTTAGTTATGTTAGCAATGACGAATGACCCGGACGATGTTAAAATAAGACCAACACGTTCACCTCTAAGGAGGAGAGAAATGTGTCAGTTATGTAACAAACTGAATAGTCTAGTCACAATCTTTATTCCTAAGTAATCGAGTTTGAAATATTTTAATCTAAAATGTTTGGAGATGTAAGAGCCCCTCGGATAAGTAAATCTAATTAATATATAATCTGGAATTTAAAATAAGATGTTTTAGGAATGATGACTCACTCAGTAGGAGATATCTTTGCAAATAATGCATTGAAAAAATTCAATGTATTTTTTGAAATAAATCTCTGTACTGCATTGATTTGAATAGATTCACACATATTTGACTAAAATGCAAATTTTCTGGAACTTCCGTAAAGTGTGAACAAAGTGTGACCAAAACATTAGGTTCAAAATGTGTTTAGTTATGTGCTTAAAATGTTCAGCAAGAAAACACTTGGCCACCTTTAAGAGAATTTCTAGTTCAAAACTGCTTTATAGTTGATCCTTTAGTCGTATATTGCTTTTAAAATGCAAAACTTAGGCAATTAAATTTCTTCTATGTTAATTAAAGATTCTAGAAACAAGGAGGGATGACCTAGAAAATTTAGGAAGACATGAGCAGTATGAAACAGATTAAAAATGCATTCTTTTGCCAAGACTTTGGAGAGATGCAGGTGGCATGAGTCACATCTGTCTTCTGTTCTGTTCTGATAATGAATGATAGGGATGAAGACACCGGTGGGAGGGAAAAATTGACAGGGCTGCATAAAAAATGTACTTTAATCAGGAGAAACTAGGAGCTCAAGGAAGTCGTCCAAGGAAAGTAGGCTGGTGCTATGGACCGAAAAAAAGTAGTTATAAGAAAAATGGTGTCTGAGGATACATTAAGAAGGTTAATAAATTAATATTTAATTTAACTAAAAGGTTAATAAATTAACATTTACTTACAGCATAAGTAAGAAAAGTTTGGGAGAAGAAGATTCACGGAAGAGTGTAGATTTGGGGCTGCCTGACTACTTGAAATTATTAACAAAACCTGAGGGAGGAAGGTTTTACCTGGAGAGTGAGAATTCTGTTCTCTCCAGACAAAGTGTGAGATGCTTCTTACATGTGAAGAGGAGTTGCAAAAAGGTGCTTGGCTATGTGCGTTCTGTTAATATATATGCAGTTCCGACCAGACTCTGACATTTAAAAATCATACGAATATGAACAGTATTTTGTAAATGGGATTAAATGGGTTTACCAAGGATTTGAATATAGACAGAAAAAATTAAGAAAACAGAACACTGTTAGCAGCTCTCAGTAAGACAGAGAATGAATGACTCTTGAAGTAAGAATTATTACGAAGTGTCTTGTATCTTAGAAATCAATTGCAGAAAATACTTTAAGAAGAGCAGAGTGATCAATTCCATCCATTTTATATGATTTTGCAGATGGTGTATGACCTTTATAATGCTTTGTTGCATCCTCTTTCTCAGTATCATGTTGGAATGTTTTGCATTTAGGCTCACTAAAGAGATTGGCCTGTGGTTTTGTTTTCTAGAAAGTTGAGTCCTTGTCTGGTTTTGGAATGGATGTAATGCTAGCTTCCAAGAGTGAACATTCCTTCCCCTTCAATTTCATTTAAAGAATCTGAGGAAATAAGGAAGAGGAGGAGGGGAAATAAAAATAATTAATATGTGTTATATGCATATACCAGCTCCATGTGATGGATGTATTCATTATGTACTACAAACATGGCCTAATAAAATGTTTAAATTAAAAAATATCTACTATTATGATGGTGCCCAGCATCTTCCTCAATACTCCACTGAAGGTCTGCATTGCGATGAAGCTAGCATTACATTGATTCCAAATCCAGACAAGGACTGAACTTTCTAGAAAACAAAACCACAGGTCAGTCCCTTTAGTGAACCTAGATGCAAAAATCCCCAACATGATATGGAGAAACAGGACACAATAAAACATTATAAAGGTCATGATCAGGTCGATTTCATCCCAGGAAATGCAAGACAGGATAGTTTCATGGTTGGTTTAGTAGAGTTAGGGTGGCTTTTCTATTTGTCTTGAACTGGATTTGTTTAAAAAAAAATGCAGTAAAAAATAGAGAAAGAATGAGGTACTTTTCAAGGAATTTTTTATGGCATATTACATATCTGAAGAAATGGAACTACTATACCAAAGCAAAAATTAAAAAAAATTAATAAACATTTCAATGAACTTATAAAAAGGAAATTCTTAAAAATACACATGTAATCACAAATATTTTCTATTTCTCAAGTAATAATAAATGTCAAAAATTATTTTATATCTTTAATAATGCTATTATACACAAAGTTACATGTTTCATAATGCAACAATAATTATATTGACCTATGTGTGGGTTTTTCTATAATTTTAGAAGATGTCTGTAGAGAAATTAACAAAAATTACTTTAGAATGCCATTAAGATTTTGTACTGAAAGCTGAACAGGGTGGTGTACACCCATAATACCAGCTCCTGGGGAGATGGAGGTAAGAGGATCACAAGTTTGAGCCCAGCTTGTTTCGACATAAAAAAGAATAAAAATAATAATAAAAAAAAGGATGGAGAAGTAGCTCAGTGCAAAGACTCTGGGTTCAATCTTAAGTAGTGAAAAATTATTTTGGATTGGGAAGTTTGCCACAGGTATGTGTTATAATTCTTCCTTCTCCTGGCAGGACAATAACATCTACCTTAATATAAGGATAAATGAAGAACCATTTCCTTTTTATGAGCTTACTGTTGAAGATAATATTCTTATGGTTACTCGTGTCAGATCAAATATTCCAAAAATGCTCATAGATTTCAGAAGGACTGCATGTCTTTTCCTCTAGAAGGACTGCATGTCTTGGACAAGAGGACTTTGAAGACAGAGGTTTAAAGTTGTGGTTCCAAATTACTTTAACTGTTAGTATAGTTCTCCACCACCTGAAAGATTGGACTTGTGTTGAGAAAGACAAGTTGTTGTCTGGTCATAAATTGTTAGTTATGAGTCATATCCCCAACTCAGTATTGTGGAAGTATGGGTACTGATGTGAATGACTCAATTACAATGTTCCCAGGTTCATTTTGTTCCACCATTAATTGATAAGTAGTCAAGCTCCCGATTTTAAGCCATTTTACGTGTTATCTCCCTTGATATTTGCTCCTGACTTCACAACCCTGAAAATTAAATTCAAAGTCTGGCTTGGCTTCCCTTACCAGCAACATCATTTGAGTTTCAACAACTTCACAGTCCAGGCTTGACATAAACTCTAAAGAGGCTCTGCCTTCTTACATGACTGCTTTTACACAAAGGAAGATTAAATGTGGACTTCCGGAGCAACTTCCTGCAGTACCTGAGAAAGTGTGGGGGAGTTAATGCTTCAGACAATTGTTGACTGTTGAGGAAAAAGAAAATAAATCAATAAACCTGCTGATAAATTATTTTCCTGCTTTCTCCAGACAACTTTTTAAAGACTGGTTGGCTCTGAACAACTCATTTTGTATGTCCATGTGGTGGATTCATGGCTATGCATTCTTGAGGAGAAGCTTTAGGGATCTTTGTCAAAATATCCTGAGTCTGATTTACCTGCTGTCACTCACCCTTGCTACCTTGGCAGTGCATCTCCCAGTAAGTCTTTGGCTCTATTGGGAATCATTCTGCTGGGCTCTCTTTTAACAGAAAAATATTTTTAGAGTTGAATAATGGATTGGCCATGCTTGAAAAAAAATGGACATGGTATTAGGGTAAATTCTTTAAATTGCCAAAAGATAGGGAATATTTCATATTCATTTTGTTTAGAAAAGATGTATTGGCATGTTACTGAGAGAGAAAGTTAAATATGCAAATATATCCTAACATAAATCCTTTTCTCATGACAATTACAGTCTACTGACCAGAGGGTGAAGTGGGTTTATTCTGAGAGCAGTCTATTTCCCAAGAGCAACCAGTATGAATGGTACTCAGTAAGGAGTGAAGACTGCAATGCACATAGAAATTGTACATGATAGAAAAAGGCCCTGGGACCAGATATCCTCCCCAACTGTAGAAAACTGTGTAATAGGTAGTAAGTAATGGTTGAGTGGCAGTAGAAAGCCTTTGAAAATACACCTGTGGGAGCTGTCAACTTAGAAGTTGTAGGATGATGTGTGTAGCAGAGGAGGGTCATTGACTTTACCAAAAGGCTTGGGTCTGGGAGGACAGCAGAATCACAAGATAATCATGATCTTTTTCTGTGAATTACAGGTTATTTAACAGTCATAGGTTGGAGACTCAACTGGAAACTAGATCACACTGACAAACTTCAGCTTGGGGCTCCACCTCTACTCTTCAACCTTTCACCTCTGAGCCTCAGGAGACACAGCGGTCAAGAGTTACCTGGATGAACTCCCTGGATTCCCATTCTATTTGGCTTTTCTGCAACCAGCTGAAACTAAGGAAGAGAGAAGAGTGAGGAAACCTGTTCCCTGTGGATCTATTATGAGCAGCTGGATCTTTCGCTGACAGCTACTCAGGTTTCTCGGTTGATCTCCATGGGTAGGTTCTTGTTATCTTTCTTCCTTGAAGCAGCCTGTTACTAACCCTAGAGTAAGGCACTGACCCTATGTTTTAGTTTAAAATGCACCTTTTAAAATAGTGCTTTTATTAAGTTCTTCTCCAATGACTTGAGTATGCTTTTCACCCCCCTTTATGACTCCCATACACAAAATTATGAGAATGATATTCTTTCTTTTTCTTTAAACATTGCATTTTCTCTGCTTTCTGTTAAAAAAACACAAACACAAACAAATCAAAATTTTAAAAAAACACACAGCAAAGAATTGCTTTTGGCAAACTAACTGTCCAGTCAATAACATGTTTGTAAAACCCTATTTGTTTCTTTCTCTATATAAAAAGGACTACAAATCAGAATGAACTTAGATACAGACTTATTCTAGCAGGGAAATTAGAAGTTATAATCAGAAAGTGATGCAGAAATGACAAAAAAGGGAAGAAAAAAGAAAAAGAGTAACAACTAATCAGAACTCCAAGTAAATAAGTACTATATATTTACAATATATTTTAAGTACATCAATAAATGAGCTAAAGCTGGAAACAGATTATGCAGGTCAAGATGTATTGTAAAAGTAGAACCATATTCCTTGGAGCAACAATAGGGCCCTTGCTTTGACTTACTGAATTGTCATCCGTACTACTTTTGTATTCAGATACCACAGAGGGAGTAGTCATCTGCACAGAGGATCACCCCGGGAGGAGGAAGATATACAAGAATAAAGAAATTAGTAAGTCAACCTAGAGGCAAAACAATGATAAAATATTCCTGGGGACAACTGTAAGTGTATGCCATTATCAAGTGTGGTCAGTTTTATATTAGGGAAAGGAAGTTGGAGTTAATGTTATGGTTTATATCTAGATGTCCCCCAAGAGCCTCGTGAACTTGTGAGTAGAGCTTTTAGACGGGGATTGGATCGTGGGGACACAGCTGACTTGCTATTAATGGATAGGGTCTGGTCACACAGGTGGCTCACTGGGGGCGGGGCCTGGGAGAGTTTATCTTCTTCCTCATCTCCTCCCGTGATGCTCTGTGCTTCTCAGCCACCATACTGTGAGCAGCTCTCCTCCGCCAGGCCCCACTGCCATGCCATCCAGCCTTGAAGCCAGCTGATTATGGACTGAAACCTGTATAAACTGTGAGTCCAAATACTTTCCTTCTCTAAGTGGTGGGTGTTGGGTGTGGTGTCCCATTGTCAAGAAAAGTGGCTAACAGGCTGATGTAATTCAATAAACATCCATTTCTCAACTTCCTTTATGAGTTGTGAAAGTGAAAGGAAAGTTAATATTTAACTTTTTAGTTTGAATGTTAAAGATGTGGGTCTAAATACTAATAAAATAGAAGCTAATCTGACGTTGTATTTACTCTCACAAAATTTGTTATATAATGGAAGACTCACATCAATAGTCAATTCCCACACCAAGCGAGAGTACTATAAATAGGGGTGTGTAGGATTCTATGGGAATACAGAGGAAACCCAACTCATTTTGATTTAGAGGACTAAAGATGTCTAAAGGAAACAATGTTTAAGTTGAAATCTAAGGAAGAGGAGCAATTAACAAAGCAACAGAACTGTAAAAGTGCCTTGAACACAAGCAGGGATTTAGCAAGCAATTCTTGCCAACTGGAGCATCGAGTGTAGCTTGTGGAGTGAAGTGGAGAATGACTACAATCAGACAAAACCTGAGGAGTAGCCAGAAGTTGGCCATGAAAGGATGTGTTTCTCATAGAAGGGACTTTACTCAAGAGAAGCCACAGGGAGATTTTCACAGAAGTGAAGGACCCCGTCGTGCTTTTTAAGACAAGCTAGACCCAAGATTTATCCATGTTCAATCAAGAACACCAAATTTATACACATATTGCCTCATCACCGGCTCACCTTCATTTTCTGCATCAAATGGATGCATGTGTGACTCTAACAATCATAAAATCTGGAATATTTATATTTTTCAGTTCAACCAAAAATTTTGGAAACAAAAACAATAATGTTTTATCCAGAAGCCAAAAATTCAGGTAAGAAATAAACTATTTTTAAAATCAAAACAAAATTTGTCCCATATAATATCTATATGCATTTTTATGATAAAAGATAAAGTTTGAAAGAAATGTCTATTTTGTTAGGAGAATGAAACTTGCATCTCAAATTAGTAGCTTTGCACAAAGCTTAAGATTTTCTGGATTTAAACTTAGCACTGACACTTCCTTTCAGTGTGTTTGTGAGCCAGTAATTTATCCTCTCTGGGTATTATCTTCACATCTATCAGTGGGCAAAAATAACTCCTTTAAAAGATACGTGTGCGTGTGTGTGTGTGTGTGTGTGTGTGTGTGTGTGTATTCTTACAGGATCTGAGAAAGGAGAGTCAATGGCTGTCTGTGTGTTTGAGAACCAGAGAATACAGTCTACAAAGCTGGAAGCTGAAGACAGAACAAGAGGGCCATGAATGCAGTGCCCCTCTGAGCCTGAAGACTGGGCGGTTCGCTAGATAGTGGCTGGTACGAGGCTGTGTTTAACAGTAAGAAAAACTGGGGTCTGATGTCCACAGGCAACAGCAATAGCAAAATATGCACCGCTTAAGCAGAATGCAGCTTCCCAAACACATGCCAACTTCCTTTTACTTTCTCTTTTACTCCATCCAAACTGCAAGCCTATTGGTCAGAGCCAACCACAGGGAAGTTGGTTTCCCTTTTCTAGTTTGCTGGACTATGCGCCAATCAACTCTAAAAACACCCCATATTGTCCTCAGAAGTGAGCTTTACTAAACTTTTAAGTATTTCTTAATTGGGCCAAGTTGACATGTCATGATTAACAGAATTAAGTCAATAGATATTAAATATTAAAACAGTGCCTGAAACATTTTAGGGAAATCAATAAATATTATTACAGAGTATTGAGCATAAATACATCCTACCCACAAATAATCTTTGGTCACGTTTTCTTTGTCTTCTGCCTTCATGGATGCTTGTTTCCTCTTTAGGGAAATTGTGAAGCAGTCAGAAGAAACTGAGATAGGAAGAATTTCTATTTGGGCAGCTGTATTCTCCAAAGTTAATATGTCTTTATGCTCCAAGTTTAGTATTGTCAACGTATACCCTTGCTAGGATTAAGCTGTAGAAGCTTTAAGGGTTGATGTTACCTGTCTAATTAGGTCAAGCATAGAATTAATGGAGGAAAATATTTTAGTTATCTTCCTACACTGTTATCTTGGATTTCCAGAGAAGTTCCCAGGCCAGAAATAATCTGTATGGAAATAATATTGGGTATATTCTTTAAATTGCCACGTGTTGCATTGCTAAGACACCAAGTATTAACAGAAGATGAATCATATATGTGAGGAAGCACTGTTCCTCAGGGGGATGTGGCACCCTTTTACGAAAATTCTTCACCTCCCTTATTAGAGAGAGTGAAATTTTGAAGGGCCTGGGACCTATTCCTAAAATTTCTAACGTGTAGCTTGGAAGAGGGCACATTTTCTCAGCATGTCACCTTTGGAGCACCAATATGCACAGGAGTAGGGTAAAAAGCTTGTTATTTTATCTTCTGGGCAGAGAGAACGAGTAATGGGCAGGTGACTGTGGCTGTAACAAGTGGGTCTGTGAAGGGACCAGAGTGTTTCTCTGCAGTAGTCTGAGAGCCTCACTTCGACTTCATCCACCTAAGGGAGGGAAATGCCAGTAAACTTACACCATCATTGAAGAAGTATACCATTATTGTGATTATCTGTTTGTCCAGTGTAGGTGGGACAAAAAGGGAAAGCAATATGCTGAGAGGTACAATATCTTTAATTGTGCTGAAAGGTGAGCCTGGTGTCATTCATTATGCAGCTAAGTGGATAAAAATAGATTTGCCTTTACATTATCAGAGTGGAGACTAAAAACCACTAATGAAGCAAAGCTGCCAGCTCTCGCCAGCTCTCACCAGCTGCATCACAATGCCACACAAGGGGCAGAGCCAGACAAGCTGTCTGCGAAATCACTGAGGCTGCAGTGCTTGCCAGGGAGACTTTCTCTAGAGCTTTCAGCAGGACAAGAGCTGAGTCCACACCAAGTCTCTTTACCACGTGAGCTGTCTCCTTTAGTTTTCTTTCAGATAACTTAAGAAATGGTACAGGAACATGGGTGAGGAAGGTATTTCCTCGTGTCTAGAATTCCCCCGAACAAAGCACAACTCCTTGGATAAGGAGAGACACTTTCTCCAGTCCATCCGTTAAATACTGTGCCTCAGTTTCCCCAGAAATCAGCTTTCTGGCACCATTGATTCTCAGCCATCCTCCGTCCCACAACTTTTTCCATCCACTCCTTCTCTCTCTCACTTCTTCATTGTCCTTTCTTCTCTTCCTAAAGCGTGGGACCCGGTTGCGATGTTTTCTGTGCCTTATAAGCAGCGCGATGCATGTGACACACACTACACATGTGAAAAATGGAGAGACAGTGAAGAGAAAGACAGCATTGCAGGGTCACAACTCTGGGTATTGGCTTTGTTTGCCAACATACGTATTTATTATAATAGCAGAGTAAATAACCAAATATCAGAGGTTTTAGAGCACTGCACATATTAAATATATTTTTGTGTTTTTACTTTGCTATAACTTACAGGTTTTTGTATGCCTAGACATTAACCTAAAAGTGACTGCCTTCTTTTGGGAGAAAAAGGGAAACTCAGGAAATCTTGTGGTACATGAGATCAAGGGGAAAACTGATGACCTACTGTTCCAGTAAGCCTGGAATATCGTAGAGTAGAATGTCTTCTCCTTTCCATCCCCCAAACTAGAAAGTATGAATAATTTAGAAGTTGCTGAGAAATTAACTTACATTAGAAAAATTGTTGGGTGCCACATGCTTCCATTTTTGTCTGTTACCTTAAACTGGGCTATCTCCTAGTAGATTTGGTGTTTTAGAAAGGGAACGGAGCAGAACTGTTCGTGTAAGTGCTACAATGAAGGAAGGCTTTCAAGAGAAATTTGAGTGACAGGGCAGAGAAGGAAGCTATTCGAAGTTGTGGCATCAGGAAAATGTGGCCCAGGCTTAATGCTGTAGTAATAAATTGCACCACAGGGTTAAACATGGTAGGTTGTCAAGGCCTCCATAGTCGGAGGCTGGCTACTAGTGGCCCTTGGGAAGAATCACAGCATAATCTGCATCTCCCCAGAAGTAGTGTTCGCTCACCAACAGCCAGCTGCTGGGAAGGAGCTCAGGTGTGAGGCATCAGCAGTCAACATTACTACAGCTGAGGGTTGGCAACTGAGGCCTGCAAAGGAGAGTTGGGTGGAAACCAACTGCACTGACTACAGAAACACTTCTGAATTCAACAATGATTAGGCATCTGATGTTTTCAGGAGTGAGGCAGAGGTGCTGCACAAATTATTAAATCATGTGACTTATGGCTTCAAGAGTATTTTAGTCTAGTAAAGGAAACACACGTGCATTCAGCTATTCGACCGTGAGCTACTTTTCTCCAGATATTGTTTATTTTTTAAATTTTTCATTATGCGTGTGTGCCATAGAGAAAGGTTGTGTTCCTCTTCATCTTGCCTGTATGTGAAGGAAGTTAACATCAGTCAGAGCTGCACTGGCGTGTGTGATGTGTGCCGATCTAGGTGTGAGTAGAGAGATTTCAAGGGCACCGAGTCAGATCCAGTCTCCTTGGTATTTATCCAAATCTCATGGCTGTAACCCCATTGGGTGATTTGCAAGTCAGTGCCTTTCATTTGAATATCTTTCTTCAAATTGAGACTTGCATACATCCTTTGGGATATTTCATAGACACCTGAAATTCAAGTCCAAAATAAAATCCCAGTTTTGATTCTCATAGCTTCTGTCATGGCTTGTATCTAGATGCCCCCGCAAAGCTTCATGCGGTCAGGATGGGCTATTTCAGAGGTGGCTGGACTGAGACCGTGTGAAGCTGGAACTGATTCATGGTGTAATACTAGGCTCAAGGGCACTAGAGCTCAGAGTGTGAGTGCTGCCTGCTTTAAGTAGTCTGGGTAAGATAAAAGGGGCAGAAAGGCGCTGTTAATGTCCTTGTTTGTTTTGTGGTTGTTGTTTAATAACAGGAACTGAACTCAGGGCTTTTCACTC